TGTCATATGGTGTTTGTTCTACAGAAAAAAATACTATTGAGATAAAACGCCCATAATATACTATAGACTGTATAAAGAAGTGGACTAAGGGAGTGTGACTCCAGCTGAATGAAGCTCATCGAGGCTAGTAGTTATAGGTGTGAATTTAGAGCAGACTTACATATTTGGAATTCCATTTACAAGTATCTTAGCAATCAAAGAGCCAATTGCTGGGTTTCAGATTAAATCACAGTATTCTATAGGCCAGTGTTAAATTAATATTGTTCAACTGCAGATTTTTGTTGAAAAATAGCATGGTCTTGGGTCTAGTCAGTAATAGAAATGATCAGGTTTCATATTTGGGAATTTACCTTTCCAGTATTTCTTGGTAAAGTACACTATAATTAACAGGAAAAACTGCCTCTTGCCCCCCATCTGAGTATGACATCACCACATTCTAAAATCTGAAAACCACCAATCCGGAGCAAGGCTGTTGAGGGTAACGCCTCTTCCTGTTAATATGAACATTAAAAGACAAAAATGTCGAGCATGACAGAAGCAGTTACAGAGACAGGACTGACAGTTTTTCAATAGAAAGTAAATTATAGCCACATTTGATGGAGTTGGAAGCGTGCCCATGCTCACTTCCTATTTGGAATGCTGCAGCTAGTGGGTTAGTCCATTTATGTATATACTCTATGGGCATAATGATTGACATGAATTTTACATTAAGCAAATGAAAAATTAAACAATAAGGTATTTTAAGTAGATAATTTTATTTTATATATGAAAAATGTATTTCTTTCTGGATAAATAAAATATTTATCTATCTATCTTTCTATCTAATGCATCATTATTATTATTAAGAAATAAATCTCCATGGAGACAAGCATGCCACATACGCCTGTCAGAAATTAGTTACATAGTGCACCTTTATCATTACGATTTTATTTAGTTGAATTTGTGCTTTTTTTACTTATTGGAATATCCTCTGTGTTCCAAGGCACGGCTCGACCCAGGTTGAGCTAACAAGGCCAAAACACATTTCCCTGTTTAGTTTCGTGCCAATTGTGTAACTGCTGTTTTCCTTCTGCTAGCTTCATTAGCTAATTACCGCATGTATTAGCATAGATGGATTTTTCTGCAGTAGTTCATTGTGTTCTTGTCTGGTAATGAGAACGTCTCCTTCAGCTTGTTAGTGCTTAATATTGTCATTAAGTTCAGCTCTTTCCGTAAACTTTAAACAAAAAGGAAAAACAAACTAACATTTAACCTTGTGGATTTGAACTGAGTGGGTGTAAGAGAAGATGGACCTTAGTCGTTATGGAGCTTAATCAACATGTATGTAAGTAACATTTCTTATGAAGGCTGTTTTCACCTTCATAAGAAATGTTATTTACATACATGTTGATTAAGCTGTTTTCACCTCCCCCCCGAACTGCCACCTTACCGTGGTGGGGGAGTTTGCGTACCCGAATGATCCTAGGAGCTATGTTGCCCGGGGCTTCACGCCCCTGGTAGGGTCTCCCATGGCAGACTAAGAGCAGTTCATAGAACCCATATGAACAGTTTAATATCGAGGACCGTGACGTCGCCCGGTATGGCGCAGCCGGGGCCCCACCCTGGAGCCAGGCCTGGGGTTGGGGCTCGAATGCGAGCGCCTGGTGGCCGGGACTTTGCCCACGGGGCCCGGCCGGGCTCAGCCCGAAAGGACGACGTGGGTCCACCCTCCTGTGGGCTCACCACCCGCAGAGGGGTTCATAGGGGTCGGGTGCATAGAGGACTGGGCGGCGGTCGGGAACGGGTGTCCCGACGGCCTGGTCTGCACACACAGCATCTGGCTGTGGCGACGTGGAATGTCACCTCGCTGGGGGGGAAGGAGCCTGAGCTTGTGCGGGAGGTTGAGAGATACCGGCTAGATATAGTCGGGCTCACTTCTATGCACAGCTTGGGCTCTGGTACCCAACTCCTTGAAGGGGGTTGAACCCTCCATTTCTCTGGCGTTGCCCACAGGGAGCGGCGGCGAGCTGGTGTGGGCCTGCTCATTGCCCCACAGCTCAGCCGCCAAGTGTTGGAGTTTACCCCGGTGAACGAGAGGGTCGTGTCCCTGCGCCTTCGGGTTGGGGACAGGTCTCTCACTGTGGTGTCGGCCTACGGGCCGAACAGCAGTGTAGAGTACCCGGCCGTCTTGGAGTCCCTGGGAGGGATACTGGACAGTGCACCGACCGGAGACTCCGTTGTTCTACTTGGGGACTTCAACGCCCACGTGGGCAACGTCAGTGACACCTGGAGAGGGGTGATCGGGAGGAACGGCCTCCCCGATCTGAACCCGAGCGGTGTTTTGTTATTGGACTTCTGTGCTAGTCACAGTTTGTCCATAACAAACACCATGTTCGAGCACAAGGGTGTCCATAAGTGCACGTGGCACCAGGACACCCTAGGCCGGAGGTCGATGATCGACTTTGTAGTCGTGTCATCTGACCTCCGGCCGAGTGTCTTGGACACTCGGGTGAAGAGAGGGGCTGAGCTGTCAACTGATCACCACCTGGTTGTGAGTTGGATCCGCTGGCAGAGGAGGAAGCCGGAGGGACCTGGCAGGCCCAAGCGTGTAGTGAGGGTCTGTTGGGAACGTCTGGCGGAGCCCTCTGTCAGAGGGATCTTCAACTCACACCTCCAGGAGGACTTCTCCCAGATTCCGGGGGAGGCTGGAGATATGGAGTCCGAGTGGGCTATGTTCTCAGCCTCCATTGTCAATGCGGCCGCTCGTAGCTGTGGGCGTAAGGTCTGTGGTGCCTGTCGCGGCGGCAATCCCCGAACCCGGTGGTGGACACCGGAAGTAAGGGATGCCGTCAGGCTGAAGAAGGAGTCCTATCGGGCCTTGTTGGCTTATGGGACTCCTGAAGCAGCTGACGGGTACCGGCGGGCCAAGCGTGCTGCAGCCCGTGCGGTCGCAGAGGCAAAAACTCGGAGCTGGGAGGAGTTCGGGGAGGCCATGGAGGAGGACTATCGGACGGCCTCAAAGAAATTCTGGCAAACCGTCCGGCACCTCAGGAGGGGGAAGCAGTTCTTCATCAACACTGTTTACAGTGCGGGGGGAGAGCTGTTGACCTCGACTGGGGACGTTGTCGGGCGGTGGAAGGAATACTTTGAGGATCTGCTCAATCCCACCGTCACGTCTTCCGAGGAGGAAGCAGAGGCTGGAGACTCAGAGGTGGACTCATCCATCACCCTGGCTGAAGTCACTGAGGTGGTTGGCAAGCTCCTTGGTGGCAAGGCTCCGGGGTTGGATGAGTACCTTAAGTCTCTGGATGTTGTGGGGCTGTCTTGGCTGACACGCCTCTGCAACATCGCGTGGCGGTTGGGGACAGTACCTCTGGACTGGCAAACCGGGGTGGTGGTCCCTCTGTATAAGAAGGGGGACCGGAGGGTGTGTTCCAATTACAGGGGAATCACACTCCTCAGCCTTCCCGGTAAGGTCTATGCCAGGGTACTGGAGAGGAGAATCCGGCCGATAGTCGAACCTCGGATTCAGGAGGAGCAGTGTGGTTTTCGTCCTGGCCGTGGAACACTGAACACTGGACCAGCTCTACACTCTCCATCGGGTGCTCGAGGGTTCGTGGGAGTTTTCCCAACCAGTCCACATGTGCTTTGTGAACTTGGAAAAGGCATTCGACCGTGTCCCTCGTGGTGTCCTGTGAGGGGGTGCTCTGGGAGTATGGGGTCCGGGGCCCTTTGCTAAGGGCTGTCCGGTCCCTGTATGACCGGAGCAGGAGCTGTGTTCGCATTGCCGGCAGTAAGTCAGACCTGTTCCCGGTGCATGTTGGACTCCGCCAGGGCTGCCCTTTGTCACCGGTTCTGTTTATTGTGTATGGACAGAATTTGTAGGTGCAGTCAGGGGCCGGAGGGGGTCCGGTTTGGGGACCACAGGATCTCATCTCTGCTGTTCGCAGATGATGTTGTCCTGATGGCTCCATCAAACCAGGACCTGCAATGTGCACTGGGGCCATTTGCAGCCGAGTGTGAAGCGACTGGGATGAAGATCAGCTCCTCCAAATCTGAGGCCATGGTTCTCGACCGGAAAAAGGTGGCTTGCCCTCTCCGGGTGGGTGGAGAGTCTTTGCCTCAAGTGGAGGAGTTCAAGTATCTCGGGGTCTTGTTCACGAGTGAGGGGAGGATGGAGCGTGAGATTGACAGGCAGATCGGTGCAGCGTCGGCAGTGATGCGGTCGCTGTATCGGACCGTTGTGGTGAAGAAGGAGCTGAGTGGAAAGGCAAAGCTCTCGACTTACCGGTCAATCTACGTTCCTACCCTCACCTATGGTCACGAGCTCTGGGTAGTGACCGAAAGAACAAGATCGCGGATACAAGCAGTCGAAATGAGTTTCCTCCGCAGGGTGGCTGGGCGCTCCCTTAGAGATAGGGTGAGGAGCTCAGTCACACGGGAGGAGCTCGGAGTAGAGCCGCTGCTCCTCCACGTTGAGAGGAGCCAGTTGAGGTGGCTCGGGCATCTGTTTCGGATGCCTCCTGGACGCCTCCCTCGGGAGGTGTTCTGGGCATGTCCCACTGGGAGGAGGCCCCGGGGAAGACCCAGGACATGCTGGAGGGACTATGTCTCTCAGCTGGCCTGGGAACGTCTCGGGGATCCCCCTGGAAGAGCTGGAGGACGTGTGTGTGGAGAGGGAAGTCTGGGAGGCTCTCCTCAGACTGTTGCCCCCGCGACCCGACCTTGGATAAGCGGAAGAAAATGGATGGATGGATGGGCTGTTTTCACTCTTTTTCTACTTTGGTTCTGGCTTGATATCAGTTAACTTGTGCTATAGACTTGGGGCTGGACCTGTTCTAGTCCTACTTCAGTCCTAACTTAAATGTGTAGTGTGTGCACGTGTGTGTGCAATACAACGGCTAAACCATTTTGAGGTTGTTGATGAAGCAGTTGCCTTAACATTCCCAGGGTAAAAACTAAAAAGAGGGAGATTTTGAATGTGTTTTATTCACTGATTCTTGAATGTTTTGTGTTTCCAGTGTGGACAGGATTCAGCAGCTGAGGAGGGAGTTCCAGCAGGCTCGCAGAGAGGGGATGGTGCCTCCATATGAAGAACTGGACCAGAGACGAAGAGCACATGACAACGATCCACACAGGGTAAGAACATGAACTTTTGCTTATATCGGCAAGAAACAAACTCAATAAGTGCTTTAGTCCTGGTCTAATCGAGGTTTAGATGCAGTTTTATTCTGAGCTCAAATAGCGTGCAGGGAAGCTCCCGGTGGAGGTGCCATGGCGCCCCGGATTCTTTCCATTGGGAGAATGTTTTGGCCAGAGCCCACCACCACAGCAAGCCAATTGCTTCGATAAATGCTTCATTATCACGTGAACACATGGTCTCGCGTGTGCACATTTCAAAGGCGCTGACCACAAGAGCAGAGCACCACTCTTAAGTGTGAGGGTCACACCGCAACTAAACCGCCCAACACTGCAGTCACAGCTGGAGCAGCTACACTCTGAGTGAGGTGTTACTTCTTCTCCAAGATACAGCATTATAAACATGTGTATTACCTCCCTCTCTCCTACCTCCCACTCTTCCTCTCTCTTACTTTCTCTGTTTCTCTGTCTTCCCTCTCACCCTCCCACCCTCTTCCTCCCTCTCTCTCTCCAGCCCCCTCTCCCTCCTTCCCTGTCTCCAGCCTTTTACCTGTCACTGATCTGAGCTCTGTGACTCTTGAATGTCTCCCTTGGGCTCTGAGTCGAGGGAGCAGGTCTCATCCACACTTCATTCACCGTCATAAGTACAGGTTTTACTCACTCTTTTACCGCACACACTGTTTTTCACAGCACACAAACGCCACACACGGCCTGACAGGTCCACTTAGAAGATCAAATAGTGGAAATAATCACACAAGTGTCACTGAAGTGTATTAAGCCACGTTTCCTTTGAATAAAAAAGAAGAAGAGTGTAGTTGGTATGACAGTGGTGTGAAACTTTGGGCTTATAACGGGAAATTTGGACGTTTGATCTCAATTCAAACCATGTGTACTACTGTTGTGTTCATGGGCAAGACACTTCCCCCACCTCATCTGTGTAATTGTGGTGTGTGGATGATTGGAGGTTGTCTTCGAGACTTTAGATCAGAATATAACAATGCTTTCAGTTCTGTCCCTTTTAAATAAACTACTACTACTAAAAGTAAAAATATCTTAGAATCTCTTGAAACGTGAAGAAAATTATGAAAGATGGGGTATTATGTGAAATAAATTTTTTTTAGCTCTACCATGTTAACATTCCCTCATCAAAAACATGCCTGAAGAGGGTTTACATGTCATCTATGCATGTTTGATTAATTTAGTGATCTCTTCCAGGTCCTATCCTACCCCTCCCCACAGTTATTAGCTCAGCTCATAACCCCACATCACCCATTCTCCCACACAATTCTCCGTAAATATACAAAAGCATGAAATAAAACTGTACACTACGGCTACGTTTATATGATGATGTCTGAACAGAAGATGCAAAAGTGGCGCTTCGTCTTCACTTTTTATTCTGCGTTTAGACAGGCGCTTTTGGGAGGAAATCTGCATGCATCCAAAGATGCCCATGCATACATTGACTTTTGCGTCACTGTATGCATGGGCATTTTGGACATATGAAAGTTTTCACAGCACACATTTTCATCAGCTACTCCTTCCACAAAGTTGTCCCACCATCGACTGGTTCTCCCAGGTCCCGTCCATAGTCGTCTGGCTCGCCTGCGACGAATTGATGCATCCAGAATTTGACAGAGGTGATTGCAGATCGTTCTGTTTGTTCACTTATAGTATCTCTGCATATACTGTACATTTGTTGGGAGCCTCCTGTAAGTTTATTAGATCTGCCAGAGCAGCTTGAAGGTCCAATGCATGGAAATGATCCAACATGTTTGTTTCTGTGTTCTGTATGTATGTGACATAAACACGTACGTGATGTGAACAGATCTGACCAGAGTTTTGAGTACTGGGCAGTGTAGACAGAAATGCTATGGCAGAGCGTATTCAGCTTTTCCACTCTGGAGGGCAGTTTCCGATTTTTGCATTTTTAAGCCCCCCAAAACGCCGTCACCGTCACTTCCGTCGGTGCGTTTTTACCCGCAAGCGTTCTCGTGTAAACAGGCCTTACAACTTGACAAACTTATGCGATGTGCAGTAGTTTCATTAGCAGGATGCACACACGCTGAATGTGTTGTGATAGCGCTCTGAAGGGGGAGTGACTTAGTGCGAAGATCAAAACGCGAAGATCAGAACGTCAAATATGAAAGCGAAACTTGTAAAACATGTCAACATGTTGTTTTTGGCTAATATACAAATTTCAAAACAATAAAAGGTGATCTAAATATGTTATGTGTTAAAATATTTAGATAAACCATAGAAGTAAATATATATAAAGAAGTAAAAAGTAAATATCTCCTCTTGACAGAATATAGTTCTACCAGTACAGGATTAATCTACACTCCAAAATACTTTAATTTGATTAGCATGTTAATTCTACAGTATGGTTGATGAGTCTCATTACATTAGCTCATTGATTGTATTTTAATTGCTAATTTCCTTTTTACTTGGGCCTTTTTAGAATATTGTAATTTTTGCATATTGCTGGTTACATATAATAGCTCACATTATTACTGCTTCTTTGAAAGTGTACAATTGCTATATTAAAAGCACACTACACTTCTACACTAACCATGTTTCTAATAATTATCAGTCTCTACCTGTAATTGCTTTGTTTACTGCAGCTATTTTTATTTTTTTAATTCATCTGTTACCATGGTTACTGAGTGGCGCTTAATCGAACTCACATAGCGCCTCTTTATTATTAATACCTATACTCTTGCTAATTTCATATTATACCTGGGTTTTATGCTACAGTATTTTCAACACAAGTAGATTATAATTAGAATCACTAACTCTGAGTACTTTTGATGGTCTTTCTCTCCTTCGCAGTTCCTCTTGTGAATACGCTATAACCTTGCCTCCTTCTTGTACCCCTGACATTTAAGAGCTCATTGGATTTTAAGGAGGATGAAAAAACTCACTCGAGCAGGCAAAATGACTTTCCACGATGAAGCTAAAATTAATCTGCTATGACAAATGGATAGGTTTATTGCACAGAATCAGCATATTCGGCTTAGTTGAACATAGCTGAGGATTCACTTAAGTGTGACCAATTGCTGCTAAGTCCTCGTTTTGGAGCAACTAAAAACTACTAATGGATTTGTTTTTCAGACATTTGGGAGCACACATTTGTAATAGAGGATCATCGCAAGCTTTATACTTGTCCTTCATTGAGTTTAGAAATAGAGGTTAAATAATCAAAAGGTTAACTGTGGAGTTGCTTTTATAGGTAGTTAAAGTAGCACAGTGTGACTTTTCTCTTTGTCTCCATGGAGATGTTGTTGCTTTGCTTGGAATGTGTGGCGTTATATGCGTATCTCCATGGGATAAGAGCGTTTGTCTACTGATCCAAAGGTTGTCGGTTTGAATCCCGTTCTCGACATAAACATCAGATGACCCACAGGCGGTGTGATTCCAGTTCCCACAGATGAATGCTGTCGTTGTGTCCTTGGGCAAGATACTTAACACTACTTGCCCCTAGTGTCTGCGTACACTGGTAAATGAATGTGTGTGTGAATGGGTGAGTGGTTCCTTGTTGCAAAGTGCTTTGAGTGCCTTGAAGATAGAAAAGCGCTATATAAAAATGTAAGTAAGTAAGTAAGTCTTTATTTATATAGGGCTTTTCACAGACATATGTCACAAAGACGCTTTACAGAGCATTTTTTATAGATTCATTATTCTTTTTCCTCCATACCCGTTGGTGGTAAGCTATTGTATTGTATTGTTGTATTGTAGCTATTGTAGCTACAGCTGCCCTGGGGCATACTGACAAAAGCGCGGCTGCCATGCCATCGGACCCTCCGACCACCACCATCACTCACACACACACCACTTTCATACTAGGCAATGTGGGTGAAGTGTCTTGCCTAAGGACACAATGACAGTTATTCCCACTGGGACCCCCTGTGGCACCTGATTTTCCCAGTGGTCTCCCATCCAAGTACTAACCAGGCCCAGCCTTGCTTGTGGTTAATGGTAAATGTCACATTTTTCTATAGCGCTTTTCCACCTTCAAGGCACTCAAAGCGCTAATGTTAATGTGATCATTAACCATTTACCATCATGTAAAGTGGATTAATACGCGTAACATATTAACACCAAAATAACTAATAACTGAAATAGACTCGCTGCAGAAGTTACAGGGTGACAGTTTTTTAATGTAAAGTCAACTGGAACCACAGTCGATGGAGCCGGAAGCACCCCCATGTTCACTTCCAAATACAGTTGCTGGCTGTGTCCATTTATATAAAGTCTTTGGTTATCAGGCCAAGTGACAAGCCAGATCTTTGGAGAGATGACATGTAATTTAATAAATGCAAAATAGATATGCTTAATACCAAGCAGGTATGGACCTTCCACCAGAAAAGTTACATAGTACACGTTTAAATGACTGATTCTTTATTAGTTAGTTGGTAATCAAGTCTGTTTCTATAAAAATGCTGTAGGTCTGAGACAAGACCTGTTACTTGAAAAAGGTAGTGGTTAGTTCATGCAAGTTTTTAAAACCATCACTACATGACATCACAAGGTGAAATGGAGCATTTTGAGCTTTAGTGATGTAGATGGACCCATAGGCTCTATTTACGCTTACGCCACAAACCAGGAAGATGTTTGGATAGATGCAATTACAGCTTCCCAGGCTCAGTTTTCTTCATTTCCATGTCATTGTAGCTTACCGTTAGTTTCGGCTAATCAACAATTACAACCATACCTCAGGTTTCATCATTTCCCCACTGAGACACAACTCTGATCACACTGGGTACATGTAATTAGACGAGATGCAGGCGCCAAATTTTAGATGATTCCAAACAGCAATAACATTTACTTCAGTGGGTTTTATCACAGTCAGTCGGTGAGCCCAGTGTCGAAAGTTGTAATCGCATCTTTCCACACGTTTTTCTGTTTTACAATGTAAACGTTAATATAGAACCTTTAATATTACACTGGTAACACAACATTGCCATGAAACAATTTGCTTCAAATGCACAACACAGCCATTT